AGTGACGCGAGATTTGTGTATTCTTTATCGACTTTTAGGTATGAGCATCTCAGCGTGTACATTATAGATACAGTATCTGTTGAATGACAACCGATCGATGCGTTGCATATCAACCTAACAATCTAGATATTAAGATCGTGGTAGGCCTTGCCTTCTTCAAAATATGAACAATTATTGTTCTCTTTTACCCAAGCTACCGTTCAATAAAGACGCTTTAACTTTGCTCTGCCTATTTGATTAGGTTATGGGCCCAGCACAGTAGAAGGAAAATTCGAGAAAAGTTGTGGCTGTTCGATGGAACCAACTTCGGAAACTGGGAGTTCCGAGTTGAGGTTCTAATGGAGGACAAAGATTTGTTGGGCTGTCTGGAGAAGGCCATCGAAGACGAGGAGTACGCGAGGGAGCTCCAAGCGGACACAGCGGCAGTCAAGGCGGAGAAGAAGAAGAAACTCGAAGAACGCATGGCCAAAGACCGGAAGTGCAAAAATGTGCTCATCAACCGAATAGCAGAGGACCAACTGGACTACGTGGAGGACAAACAGACGGCGAAGGAAGCTTGGGACGCTTTGAAGAACGCGTTCGAGCGGGTTGGTATCGCCGGGAAGCTGTACTTGAAGAAGCAGTTCCAGGAGCTGCGTCTAAAAGAAGGCATTCCTGCTGCAGTTTGAGAAAGTGCTGCGTGAGATGAAGGCTGCCGGGGTGAAAACGGAGGACGAGGATGTCGTTTGCCAGCTTTTGTTAGCGCAACCAAAGTCCTATGATGCGTTAATCACGGCTTTGGAAACTATCCAACCTGACAAGTTAACCCTGTAGTACGTCAAGAAGCGGCTGATGGACGAGTCTGCAAAACGTGCGAATCAAACGGGCCACGCGGAGGAAAATTCTGGTGAGTCGGCTTTCGCTGGGAAGAAGGTTGGTTTCAAGTGCTTCGAGTGTGGTCGTTTCGGGCACAAACGTAATTCCGTAATTCAGCGGCGAAAGAACGCGAAAGGAATCCCAAACCGAACGGGAGAGCCAAACGCAAGCAGAAGGGAAATGCAAATGTCAGTTGTGAAAATGAGGTGTCGTTCATCGCTGCTACGGGCAACGGTGCTTTTTCGACGCCTACTGTGATGCCCAATATGCGAGTAGAATGGTTTTTGGATTCGGGTGCAACAGACCATATGCTGAAGGACAAGCATTTATTCGAAGAACTACACCGGCTGACAAGGAAAGTTACCATTGCTGTGGCGAAGTCTGGCCAGGTTATTGTGGCAGAAATTTCTGGTACCGTGAGGGTCGATATGCTGATCGATGGAAAGAAGGAACTGTCCGTGGTGAAAGATGTGCTGAACGTACCGGAGCTGCAGTGCAATTTGTTCTCCGTACGTCGGCTTGAGGACAGCGGAATGACGGTGAAGATTGCTGGAGGAAAAGTGACAATTGAGAAGAATGATCGAACTGTCTGTGTGGGACGTCGAACTGGACATTTACCTTCGTGGTGGTGTGGAGTCGAGTGCGAGTGCTATGACGTCGAAGCACGAAGTTGTCGAGTTGTGGCATCGAAGGTACGGCCATTTAGGAGAAGCAAACATGAAGAACCTCTGGAAGCATGGGATGATCGATGTCTTTGCGAAGTATGTTTAAAAGGTAAGCAGACGAGGCAGCCTTTGGAACTCATCCACTCCGACGTGTGTGTGTGAACCGTTTACTCCAACCACGTGGAACGAGAAACGTTTCTATGTCCCGTTTATGGATGATAATAGTCACTTCACGGCGGTCTATTTGCTGGCATCGAAGGACGAGGTTCAGGAGAAGTTCGAGCAGTACTGTGCGCAAGTAACGGCATTTTTCGGTACGAAGGTGGCGAGGCTGCGGTGCGACAATGGCGCGGAGTATACCAGCAACTCGTTCAGGAAGCTTTGTCGAACTGAAGGGATTCGCATGGAGACAACTGCTCCGTACAGTCCGCAGCAGAATGGGATGGCGGAACGATTAAATCGCACCTTGTTGGATAAATCACATTCCATACTACAAGATACTGGTTTGCCGAAATCGATGTGGGGTGAAGCTGCCCTAGCTGCTACATACATTTTGAATCGGAGCCCAACGTCTGCTCTGGAAGAAAGAAAAACTCCGTTTGAAATTTTGTACGGCAGAAAACCGAACGTGGATGAAATACGTGTGTTCGGTTCAACGGCATTTACCTGGGTTCCGAAGGCAAAATTGGACCCGAGAAGTGAGAAAAACGTGATGGTGGCATGCACGACGAATGGATACAGGATCTGGGACACTAGGAAGAAAACGATTTTCACATCCCGTGAAGTTGTGTTTGACGAGGAACGGAAACCGGAGCGAAAACCAGATCCAGTGAAGGTAATTTACGATTCGGACGAAGAAGACGAGTCCGATGTGGAGGCGGACGACTTGTTTGTGCAGACTGAACCAACTGAGGAGGAGTCATCCGAAGAAAGCTAGTCTGAAGATACAGCGGAGGAAGAGGAAGCTACCGGCGCGCTCCCTCCGCAATCAGAAGTAGACAACTGCCCTGCAGAAACGTCCACGAGGCAAAGCGGACGGGAGCGCAAACTCCCCGGTAAGTTTCTTGATTTTATTACTGGTTTTGAGGCAAATACTGGTAGTGAATGTTTCGCAGGTTCAGCCGAGGATGTACGAACAACGAACGACATGGTGATGCGGAGCATTCGTGGAGGACCTTCCGTCAACCATAGATGGTCTACAAAAGCTTAGAGATTGGATCCATTGGAAGGCTGCAATCAACACTGAACTGGAATCGCTACAGAGGAACGAAACATGGGAGCTCGTTCCGAAGCCGGCAGGAAAGAACATCGTAGATTGCTAGTGGGTCTTCAAGGTGAAGCGTGATGATGCTGAAAATGTAGATCGCTACAAGGCTCGACTGGTTGCGAAAGGCTATTCGCAGCGGAAGGGGTTCGATTTTGATGAGACGTATGCACCTGTAGCCAAAATAACCACAGTGAGAACGCTGCTTTCGGTGGCGAACAAGAAGGGGTACTACAGGGGCCTGAAGCAGGCACCGAGAAGTTGGAACGAACAATTCCATTCGTTCGTCCTTAACCTCGGATTCAAGCGATCCAATGTGGATAGCTGTTTGTACTGGAAGAAGGAGAAAGGCTTTGTTATCTACCTGTTGCTGTACGTGGATGATATTATCCTTATATCCAACCGGATGGGTCTGGTGACAGCCATCAAATCCCAGATGTCAAGGCGTTTCGAGATGGTGGACATGGGAGAGCTGAACCACTTCCTGGGTCGAGGTTCGAGAGGAGGTGTTATGAAAATAAGCCAGCCAAAATACATTGGGGATCTTCTTCAGCGATTCGGTATGGCCGAATGTAAACCGGTGGCAACCTCGTTGGAACCGAATCTGAAGCTTGCATGCAGGAAGGACGAGAACGTGACGAAGAAACCATATCGCATTGGCATTGGCAGCTTAACGTACCTGGCACTTACGTTGCGACCAGATATCAGTGCTGCTGTCAACTATATCAGCAGATTCCAATCTGCCCCGACCGATGCTAACTAGTGCCACCTGAAGCGTGTACTTCGGTATCGGAAAGGGACCGTAAGCATGGGTTTGGTCTATCATCAACATGGAGAATAACAACCGCTGATCGGGGAAACAATCAAGAAGATCGACGATCGATATCCGGCAACGTATTTCACGTCTATGGAGCAATGGTTTCGTAGATGATACGAAAGCAATCGACTGTATCGCTATCGTCAACGAAGGCCGAGTACATTTCCCTTAATCAAGCGGCGTGTGAGGCGATTTGGCTCAAGAACTTGCTGGAAGAACTTGGACTCATCTTTCATCATCCGATACCGTTATTTGAAGACAACCAGTCTTGCATCCGAATCGCCGAAGAACCACAGGATCACAAGCGGATGAAACATGTCGACATTTCGTATAACTTTATTCGAGAGAAAATCCAGGATGGTCTTATCAAGATTATCTACAAGCCCAACATTTATTCATTTTCTAAATGCACAGATAGCTCATTTGGTTTAAAATTGCTAAGATGTGACTACCCCAAGAATTCGACAATTTGGAATAACAAAGAGGGAAGTTCTTTGGCCTAGTAAGAAACCTTAGAAACATTCGTGAACTAGTAATTAGTAAAAAAAAGTTGTCGTAAAATGTTGTTCAAAATGTTGAAAAAGGAAGTTCTATGAACTTTTCTTTTAAAACTTGAGAAGTCCGAAGAAAATCCTAGAAATCCGTAGAACTTCCGGAAAGTCTGTAGAATTTACGAAACGCAAGAAGTAGGTCACTCGGCCACCTTGTGTTAAACACAGCAAAAACACTTCGGCACACTTCAAACAATAGAGTTAACAAATATATAGAGGAAGAATAGCGCTGGTGTTCCCTTTGTTCTAGTGCGGAAACATGTTGGGTACAGAACTGTCACACTTTGTGCTATTTTGGGGAATTTTCATGTACCATGTTGTTTTGATTTGAGGAGAAAAAAGGAAAACAGTTTGCTAATTTTAGTTCGATGCTCGTTTTGATTGTGGAAAATTGTGAAATTTGTCACTAGGAGTGCAAACTATTCACAAAAAACAAAACATAGAGCTTAAAAACAACATAAATAAATTGCCTGAGCTGTATTCATAAATGAATTCATCACATAGCTATTACATGTAAGCTCTGAAGAGGGTTCTGCTATCAGGTGATATTATCTGGGTTGGAGCGACGCGTAAAATGGTAAATCGTGCGTGCAATTTATAGCTTATAGAACCCAAAATTAAATACAGTTTTCCAAGTAAGGTTTAAAATTATTGTTTTAATTATAGGGCGAATCGTTCTACATACCTTGGCATTGTTATTGTAATTTAGGAAGAACAGTCAGCGAAAAAGATGTTTTTTTTTTAAGTGGTATCACACATCAAACTTATAAGACAGAACCACCAATTACTATAATTGAAGGGAAGTGTTCTCAGCGTGACAACAAACAACATAACTTTTCAAAAATAACTTATTTCTATAACAATTGTGAAATAATCTCTCTGAACATTGAAGCTTATGTAAAAAATAAAATACTTAAAAATATTACCTTATTATACGTAGGAGTTTGTCGCTGTGCCCCCTTCACCGTTACCATTTTCGAAAAACTTATGGCACTGTCCCAAGCACCATTCGTAGCCTAGAAAAGTAATGGAATTGACGGGAGCTGCCCTGAAGATTACCATAGAGCTTCCTCTGAACAATGACCTCCATCCATGGCGCTGTGGTCGTCGGAGAAATTAATTAGACTTACACTGAACTGAAATTACAACCACGGACTCACCTCCACCAGCATCCGAGCGCAGTGCAGCATATTCTTGTGCACGGTGGGATCCGTTTCCGACTGCATCACCGTTTTGATCACATCGAACGGCACGATGAACATCCACGAAACGATCCCGGCAACGGCACCGGCCGCCGCAATCAACGACGCCTCGTACGGGCTGCTTACCACCGAAACCACCGTGCCACCACCATAGCGGTCCCGCTTCAATCGGTGCATCCGTTCCTCGATTCCGAGCATGTACTCGTACACCATCATGTAGATGCCGTATGGCAGCACGTCACGCCACATCATCGGAGTTATGCCCCGGTAAATACCCCATATGCCCTCGATGCGGTGTATGTCCAGCAGGCAGCGCCACGGGCGTCCAATATCTGGCAAAAAACGGTAAGAGATTGTGTTTAACAAGCTTGAGCTTATCGATGAAAGGAAAACGTACATCGAAGAGTCTGAAGTCTCACTTTAACAACCTCTATGGGACATCCTAGAAGGACCTGTGTAATACCGGCTACCGAACCAGCAAGCAGCACGTGCTTCTGCCACTTCTCTCGCCGTTCAAATTCGGATTTGCACCTGAGAAAAAAAAAACAAGCTTATTTATACCAAAGTTGAATTTGAAATCGATTGCATTTTCAACTTACTGAAATTGAAGTTGTCTCATGTATTCTCCGTAGACGGCAAACACTACCGAGTTCGTTGCACCGCTGGTCATCAGCGGGAAGAACATTCCTTTGTAGAATCCGAGGACCTACGAAAGCGAAATGAGAATTTATCCCACTGTGTGTCACTCGGTGAAATGTTTCAAACATGTTGCATCATTGGTTGCACGATACGCGTCGCGCGACAACCAGTGACGAAGTTCTGCAGTTGATCAGATTCACTTTCTTCTATTTCCTGCTTGGCAGGTGCTTCCCAAACAATCCAAAAATAGATGCAGTACCTAATTCGATCGAGCCACAAAGTTGGAACTGCCATCTAGACAGTTTCCACGTAAAGCACACCGTTGGGGGGCGCCAACCCCAGTCAACCGTGTGATGTGACATTTACGTGGTGTCGTGAATTTGAATCAGGTGACACGCCACTACTCACCCCATTGTTGCGTAGGATGATGTTGTAGACGGAAGTCCGGATTTTGTGATTGGAAAACTGCTGCCAGGTTTTGATCGTGTCCAACGGATGTCCTATCAGCACCCCGCATGCTCCTGTGCACAAGAGAGATTTATTAGACATTCCCAAAAAAAACACACACACTGGAATCAAGGGACAAAACACGTTACACAAAGATTAACCAAAGCACGCACACACGTAACGTTACCGCCAAAACAACCGGAAATGAAGTCGTAGGTGATGTGCTGCATCACTACTCTAGGCGTCGTCGCCCCTGAAGAATCGTTCGCGGAAGAGGAACTGCTACCCGGGGGGACGTACGATCCGCTCACTTGAACAAGCGCAAAAACACTGAGCAAGAGCTCCGCACTCGCTTTGCGGATCATCTAAGTGATGATCCGTGACGTCATTGTCGTCGCCGTCGCCCATCTTGACCGTGAAATCATCTGGCCGTATCGTGAGAGTGCCTCCCTCGTTTCGCGGTTTCAATCAACAAAATGCAACAACGACCGCACTAAAGTACCAAAGTACTTGTTAACTATATGTACAGTGAGGAAAAAGCACATGGCTTGAACATCTCACGGTGTTGTCGGTTGATGCCGATGATGATGATGATGATGATGGTGCAGCGTGAGATTATTTGTTAGTGCAGTCTCGTCCCGGGTGTTTACTAATTAGCGTTGTAGCTGGTGGAATCCTATGCATAGGCCAAAAGCTAGTTGTGAGTAAACAGATAGATGTTTCTGTTTTGTACGCTGCCCTGCTGAGATCAATTGGCACGTGATCATATTTTGTCGTTGTCGAAGGAAAACTATTTGAATTTGTATCACAATAACGCAACCAAATAAGCATGTTTGGCGACGGGAGTTGGCTGCGTTAGTTTTGATTTTTTTTTCTCGAAATCGATCGTCACAAAATGTGATTAAACATGTGACGGTGTGATTCATTTCTAATATTTACACAATTTCAACAACAGTGATGTGCTAATGGGGATGCGATTGAGTTCCATTACACAGCGCACATTCACGTCTGTCATACACACTTAGAAAATAATACCGAACTCGATTTAATTTTCTACCGAACCTTTTCGGTTACCAATGAGAAACCGAATAAATGGTTTAAAAATCTATTTCAGGCGTATTTATCGAATCAGACCCGAAATTTTGGAACATAGTATAAATTTGACAGATAGAAATGAAGGCTGAACCGAAAACTACGGTATAGTATCGACATTTACGAATTCGGTACGTGAAAACCGAGAAACTCGGTATACTTAGGCTCTGAACCATTTGGTGGATTTTTTTAACTTTTGGTTAAAATTTGACAGATGGAAAGTTATCGATTAGCCCTGCTATCCGAGCGTGGTTACTTCTGACAGACAAGAAGTTAAATTTTGACAACCTTGGCTATGTTCTTCTCGAAAACCGGTCGATCGACAGCACAGGGATTTTCGAACATAGAGAATAACTTTCGAAATGTCACTTTTAACCACGAGTTAAATTTAACTCGGCAAATGGTTCACAGCCTTAGGCTCTGAACCATTTGGCGAATTATTTTAACTTTTGGTTAAAATTTGACAGATGGAAAGTTATCGATTAACCCTGCTATCCGAGCGTGGTTACTTCTGACAGACAAGAAGTTAAATTTTGACAACTGTGGCTCGAAAACCGGTCGATCGACAGCACGGGGATTTTCGAACATAGAAAATAACTTTCGAAATGTCAGTTTTAACCACGAGTTAAATTTGACTCGGCAAATGGTTCACAGCCTTAGGCTCTGAACCATTTGGTGGATTATTTTAACTTTAAGTTAAAATTTGACAGATGGAAAGTTATCGATGAGCTCTGCTATCCGAGCTTTCTTATTTCTGACAGACAAGAAATTAAATTTTGACAACCGTGGGTTGAAAACCGGTCGATCGACAGCACGGGGATTTTCGAACATAGGAAATAACTTTCGAAATGTCACTTTTAACCACGAGTTAAATTCAACTCAACAAATGGTTCACAGCCTTAGGCTCTGAACCATTTGGCGAATTTTTATAACTTTTGGTTAAAATTTGACAGATGGAAAGTTATTGATTAACCCTGCTATCCGAGCGTGGTTATTTCTGACAGACAAGAAGTTAAATGTTGACAATGATGGCTGAGTTCTTCTCGAAAACCGGTCGATCGACAGCACAGGGATTTTCGAACATCGAGAATAACTTTCGAAATGTCACTTTTAACCACGAGTTTAATTTAACTCGGCAAATGGTTCACAGCCTTAACCGAATATTTGCTAATACGTGTTAAACGTCAAACGGTCCACTTACGCTCAACTTAACGACGGAAATCTTAACCGAAAACTCGGTTCTCTAAAAGCGAATTCGTGTGAAACCAAACTTTTTGTCAGTGCGAACCGCAACCTGAGCTGGGTTTAAAAAACAAATGAGCAAACTGACGCTTGTCAGAAAACAAGCAGACCCAATCTTGATACCCGATCCAGGTTGGAACTGAATAATAAAAGAATTCGCTGTAAGCTGAGTCTAAAACTAGTCAGCCATTTTTCTCGCGTGTGCTCGTCGGACGTGTGCAAAAAATCAATGAAAATGGAAAAAGTCCTGGAGCAGCTGCACGTTTGATTATTTTTTTTTAAGTATTTGAAACTAATGGTACGATTTTATTTGCATTATACAATTTGTATTATACAACTACCTTAAATTTTTATTTCCAGCCAGAAGATGATTTTCCCACTGATAAGAATGGCCCGGTATCGATTTGCCGAGGAGCGTCCATGGTGGACTCAGCAGACTTTGCCGTCTGTTTGGCATCAATGTTGGTTTTGTAACCGAAACGAGGGGGGCGACACATCTAAATCTCAAATTTAGATGCTCAATAAATCTCACACTAGCGAATAAATCTTCGAAAAATCTTCCTTCATTTTTCGCATCTACTTGCATCGCGTATTATCTTTTTGCAGGAAATCTTCAAAATCGTGATAAATCTTCTTTCTATCTACTCAGCGTACGCGCAGCTAGCCACAGCAAAACACAATATTTCCTGCATCGTAGATAGAGTATAGTCACTATATTCATAGTCTGGCGGATAGAATCTCGGGAACCAATTGAGCTGTCAAATAGCGGAACCAATTGAGCAAATCACGACCAACAACAGAAAAGAGCACATCAGCTATTGCGAACAAAACGTCGGAAACCATTTTCTCGTGACTCAAGGCTCGCCTACGCAAACTAATATCATCTTTGGGTTGTGGAAAGTTTCCCTTATCCGGTGATGCCGGTAGTTTGCATTCGATTGGCGTGGAAAGAATAATTTACGTTTGTTTATAAATGTTGATAGTACCTTTTCCATTGTTGGTCTAAAATATATTGAATTGGTTCCACTTTTTGATAGATTGAAATTCTATCCGCCAGACTATGAATATAGCGACTATAAGATAGAGTCGTCCCCCTCGAACCGAAATTAAACCGCTGAGGTAAAATCACCGACTGACATCTGCCGCCGTGTTCGCGAAAATTGTGTATCCTAGCCACATACACACATACAATATGTATGAGTTGGTTCGTGTCTAATCTATTCCGTGCAAATTATTTTTATCTAGATAACAAATTTCTAAGGTTTTGACAGATGGGATCACTGCACATTTGAAACCGCCGTTATGGATTCTCGATCAAGAGTTAAGTTTAAGATTCATGTCGGTTTGTCGGTGGTAAAATGAGCACCCTGTCGGGGTGGTATGAACGATCTTGTAACCAAAGGGTAAACATATTCTGCTCTCTTGAGGCTTTATGAAGGGTCAACCGATTTTTTTACCAAAACAGCTGACTCAAAACGAGATTTCATATAATACAGTAATATTTATTAAGGTGATACTCTAAGGAAGCCTTAGCGTGAAACTTCAAAGGCACAAATGTCAGCTTCCACAAAACATACAAATTTGAAATTGCTACTTTCTGTTTGTAGTAGCACAACAAATAAGGAGTAGCAATTTAAAATTTGTATGTTTTGTGGAAGCTGACATTTGTGCCTTTAAAGTTTCACGCTTAGGCTTCCTTAGGAATAATGCAAAATTGAACAATTTAAGTTGAAATATCAGTTGTGATCATATTGCCCCGAATGTAGTTAAGTAATATTTTGTTAAGAAAATCTTTAATGTTTATTAAAAACTAGAAAATATCGTGTCATATAAGAAATCAATTACCATTTATAAAGCTGCTAAAGGAATATCATCGATAAGTTATAAGAAACTACTAGTAGACCTTATTTTTTGATTCAGAAATCTTATAACAGTTGTAATATTTTGAGCTAGTCTAACGTTTTTCGAATATATGCAGTAGAGAAAAGTATTTTTTAGACTTAAATGAAATAGATAGTTAAAGCACAGACTAACAGACATAAATCTCGCAAGTTGTTCATTGGACAAGCATTTAACGTTAATTTAAAATTATCGTAGTTGGTAGTACCGCACCCTGTGGCGCGCATAGTCAATTCCCTTGCGTTTGACGTTTACACACTACCGCCATCTGTTCAGCGTACTACCCACCACAGTGTACTTAACAGATGGCGGTAATGTTTTAGCGACGATGTTTTACAGTGAGAAATACTCAATGAGTTCTGTCTGTTTGTCTGTGGTTGAAGGCTCAATCATTAAGCCTGAAACACTTTGCCCCATTGGCTATATTACCCCACTTTCCCCTATTCAACATATTTGTAATCTGTTCCGGTCGTAATAGTCATACCAAACTGCCACGATTTGAAAATCTGAAACATGGACACAGCTGGTTGGCGTAGCCTGGGCAATGTTGTCAATCCAACAATAACAGAGTGAGGAGGTGCGACGCGAACACTGGCGCGGTAACCATAGCACGGTGATAGAGGAAATGCTTCGCCAACCCGAGCGTCTGTTCACCATGGAGGTGCGGCTCAAACAGCGTCTGACTGGTATCCAGCGGCTGAATAAGAAATGCTCTTCCCCGGAAGCTACACCTAAGATGGCAGCCCCATCACGGCGGATAGGAGACCTTAAGTCAACCACCTACTGTCTCTGAAACCTTTACAATTGTTACAGAAACCAACAGATGATTTAACGGCAACGACTTTTAGCGCAAAACAACGGACACGAATTGGATCATGGAATGTATTGACGTTAGCCCAGCAGGGTAAACTGGCACAACTCGCCAACGAGGCGCGACGCATGAAGCTAGAAATACTGGGACTGTGTGAAGTTTGGTGGCCAAACTTTGGAGAACACAAACTGCCGTCGGGACAGGTACTACTATACTCTGGTATTCGAGGTGAAAACGCTTCCCGCCATCGTGGAGTTGGTCTCCTAC